GCAGGGAGGGTCTAACGCAGTGGAGCTGCCTCACCCCCATGGTCCCGTCCTGCTCCAGAGGCCTCAGAGCTGCAGCCTCGCCAGGGTCCCAGCACACAGCAAATGAAACTGGGAGATAACCCTAGCAAACAGGCTGCGCCTCTGAAGCCAGGAAAGCCAGGGGCTGTGGTTAGTGTGAACAGAGGGTTCTAAACTGTCCCACCGAGTGCCACCGTGCCCGTCACCAGGCCTTGTCACCAGGTGGCAGCAAAACTACAACCAAAATATCTGTGAGGGCTGCGACGTCTTCCCTTCGGCTACAAAATGTAACCCGCGCTTTGTCTGGTTTTTTTTACTGTCGTGTCCTTTCCTGTAGGCAAACCGAGATGAGACCCAAGTGGTCAATGTGGAGCTCGCTGAGCAAGATGCCACAGATCTGTACAAAGTAAGTGCCAGGGTGGAAAAATCCCCGTTTGCCCCGTGCTGCGCAGACAGGGCTGCCCCGGGGGTGGCTGAACACCCCAGGTATGGGGGCAATGGCAGGGCAAGGAGATGGGCGAGGGGGGCACAGGCTGGAGCTTGGCTGACTTTTTGTCTCTACTGTGGATAAACAAGCGCTTCAGAAAAATAATGTGCAATCTTTAAGGCAGGAGAAGGCCGATGGGGAACAGAGGAGCTGGCTTTCAATACGGTCTTAGCAAAGAGAAGCTATAGTCAGCTGAGAGCTACTTTTCAAGCCTATGAAAAGGTGAGTTATCCTCTTCTGCAGTGTGGGTTGCATAGGGCCTGACATGTAGTTTGCAGACCCTACAACAACATGTAGAGCAGGCGATCCTTTCTTTGCCATTTTAAAACTTCTTGAATGCTTTAAGAATCTTGGAAAATATTTTTATACAACTGGATCCTAATCTTATGGAAACGGGGGATAAAAGCTGTATCTTCTGCTGGTGAAGAACCTATTCCCCTTCGTAGCCTACACAACATCCAAGCCAGATAAATGTCAGGATGTAATTTCCTTCCCATAGCTGCACAACGGTGGCTGTCTCCACTCCTGCAGGAGGACCAGCAAAGGGACAGGTTCACCAACTCCTGTCCTGAAGCAGGGCTTTGCTTTTCTGGTCTTTTCCTCTCCTTCTCCAAAGCAGAGCCTGGCAAGGTCTCTCCTGATCCCCCTGCTTCACATGCGCATATTGGCTGGGCAGAGGCACATCTCCAGCCTCTTCCTCCCTGCCCACAGTGGGCAGACAGCCTGTGCAGGTACTTTATACATGCTCCTCCGTCTCCAAGCGTAAGGCAAAGTAGGCAGCAGGATCCCAGCTGTCTGGTACTTCTCCCTGGGTCACCCACCGGGGACACTGTACTCATGCCTTGGCCTAGAACTTACCTCTGCTGAGACCTCTCACCTGTGAAAGTCAAAGCAATGGGAGATCCAAGGTCATTCTCCTGGCAGCAACCTCCAGCCTCTGGCTCATTCATAGTCCTGAACTTCCCTAGGATGACTCTCATCAGAAAACTGTAACCCTAAGCACTGAGGATGAAAAAGAACTCCAGTCAAGGCCATATTTCAGTGTCAGCACAATAAGGAACCCATAGTTGGAAAAAAGTTTGCAGCTTAATCCAAGTTTTGGTTTGTTGCTGGCAGGAGAACAAAACCAGTCACTAACTGATACTCTCTCGCTTGGAATGGCCCAAACCTTGGGGGTTCAATTAAATTCTCCGATAGCCAAGCTACCTTGGCTTTTTCATTCCTAAAGCCAAGCAGATCAGGTTGCCCAAACCGATCCACCACATCCTGCCTGGCTGTATTTGAAGCAGAAGTGAGCCAAGATTAGAGCCATGCAAACATCAGTCCTTCTCTTCATTTGGAAAGATAAATAGGGCCAGATCTAAACCAAGATGAGGGTTTGCAGAACTTAAACCCAAATCCTCAGAAGGTACCCCTTCTCGTCTTGTACCTGTGGTCTCACAGCTCTGACCTAAAACTCCATAAGAGTCTTGAATCATGCAGGGCCATCCTGAAAGGCAAAACAGAGCAAAGTAAAAGGCTTTGAGGCTCACAAAGTTCACAAAAGTCAGGATAAACTCTGTTTTGAAGTGGCAGTCTGTTTTTCCCCTTTATTACAGAGTAATAAAAAAACTTGGGAACAACTGCAGTGCTTGTAAACTTTCCCTGGGAAGCCAAAGACGATAACTAACAAAACTTCATAGAGCTGGTAAAGCTCCAAAGATTATCTTATTTGTGTGGGAGCCATCCAGAGCCTTTGATAGACAAGTCAGAGGAAGCTTGAACAGTTTCTCCTGACTTGGGGTCACTCAAGAAAAACCTGAAGCTTCTTTGTCCTAGAAACCCTCAGATATATGTGACAGATTTAGGTTGTCTGTCTCTTAACCGTTGTGCCTTACCTGGTCACATAGATCTTCTTCTCTTGGTGCCAGTGGATCTGTGAGCACTTACACCAGAGGAGAACTTCATTTGCCCTTGAGTTAGTTCCTTGGAAAGGCTTTAAAGGATCTGGATTGTCCTTTTGCCATTCGATCCTAAATCTGATGCTGGTTTTATGGCAATGGGGTGACGTACAGACAGCGGCTCTGATGGCTCCTTTTTGTTGTCCTCTTAGGTGTGTGGGAAGGACATAGAAGAATCCATTAAAAGTGAAACATCTGGAGACCTGGAGAAGGCTTATCTCACTCTTGGTAAAAAAAAAAAAAAAAAGATGTCAAGAGCTTTATTTTTTAGTTCTTGCCATCATCTGACACTGGTTGTTGGGGGTCTGTGTACAGCCTGGTGACAGCCATCAAGATAGCCCTAAACTGAGCTGACATATCTGCCGGGAAAAGAAGAGCCAGTTTTTGGTAGCAGTTTGAATCCCTTGGTTTTAGAAATAAAACTTCCTAGACACAGCTCCTCTCCATGCAGCTAAATTATTTGCCCTCTAACACAGAGTGGCCACCTCCAAGCTTCTCCTGATGTTGTGTCTGTTCATAACTTCCGGCAGATGCCTGGGCATCATTGGAAGTGTGTTGCCAGCTACTACAAAAATGTACAGGGTCCTCAACAGGAATTTATCACTGGAGATGACTGTGACCAGTATTTAAACTTGTGCCCTGGCTCTGGTTAGCTTACTGGTATTGCTGTTTCCTGTCTGGATCTGGGCTCTCTCAAATCTTGCCCCTGAGAGTTGCAGAGTGAGCAGCTACCCCAAGAATAGATGGGCAAGAGGAACTCAAGAGGGCCAAATGCTTGCTCTCATTAATTTCATTTTCACTGGGGGATGGCAGAGTACTCAGTGCTGATCATTTCACTGTGTAACATGCTTTCCTCGTGTAGAAACATATGTCCCCATTCAGACTCCAAGACTTCTCCTTGCATACTGATAGCGGACCAGTGACAGAATTAAAGCCTTACCAGCTCATTTGTCTGTCTGAGCATAAACCCTAGAGTTCCCTTTGTTTCCTCCTTATTTATTTCCTTCTCATTGAAGGTGTATCACAAAGTGTAAATATACAAGCAGAATGAAGCCTCTCACTATTTTCCCTAGTCAGCTGTGCCAAAGACCACCCAGGTTACTTCGCTACACTTCTGTACAACTCGATGAAAGGAGCTGGGACTGATGAAAAGACCTTGATTCGCATCCTTGTGACCAGGGCCGAGGTAGGGTGACCTGTAATACCTCACATCAGCTCTGGGAGAAATACACATGTACAGGGTATGGAGTGAGTCCTGGTAGATCATGTGCTCAGTCAACTGATTTCAGCCTAATGATATCAGTGGTTACACTCTGTTTTTGCACCCAGGAAACTCTAATTTTGATATTGCATCTACTTCTCTTTTAAAAAGAACTAAACAAGAAAGCATGCAGGCAATTTCAAGTAGAGTCAACTGTACCTGGTTAAAACTACCCCATGGGGAGGTCTGGACCCAATAGGATGTTAAAAGTAAATTCCTAGTTAAGTAATGATAAAGCAGCAGTTCCCAAATTGAGAATTGCTTATAAACATATGTTGCCAATTCTCTCTGATTCCAGCTGGGAAAAAACAGATGGGGAGGAGGGAAGAAAAATAGAGCCAAAGGAGATAATTGTCTTTTTAAAAAGCACAAAACTGCACAAGACATTTGAGATCTTAAACAGTCTTTAAGTCTTCCTTCCTTGTAAGTTGTGTAGGTTGTAACTGCAAGGCTGTTTCAGTCTTGACATAGAGGAGGGGTCGTTCACAGGGACAAGGAGAGCATATTTCTCAATGATCATCAGTGTGAGAAATTAGTCTCTGGGGTAGTCTGTCTGTTAAGACACAGTCCACATGATAACATTTAAAACCCCAGTGATAAAGATCAGAACCATGCCATGGGTGCCTTTTCACAGGAAAGCTCAATACAAGGCATTTAATTCTCTGGCTGTAGTAACCAGACAATTACTTCAGTGGGTGGAACAAAACTCTCTTTTAGCCATACTCCTGGAAGTTC